CACTGTCTACACACACATTACCTTCTCGTCACGTTGTCACCCTCTTTTATATACCAGACTACCCTATCTAGTAAATACTAGAGCATTCGCCAAGGTACGGGATAGTTCTAGAAACTAGAGGGCGTGAGAATAGTCACGTGATCTCGATGACGCAACATTATTTTAAAATTTATAAGTTCAACCGTTTGGTTTCCTATAGTGAACAAAATAAACAAACTTCCTCTTTTATATATGTAGATAAATGTCTTTCGTCAGATCAAACAAACTACTTCAAAGATAAAGCGTCATTGTAGTTAATAAACTTAAATACTTTATTTTAATGTTCAAATAGTTTTACTTATAAGACAAAACACCTTAGTTTCATATATAAAAAGCAATAGTTCCATAAAATGCTCTACTTATATTTGTTTTGAAGTAAAAATTAAATCTAGCCTTAAACTGATTTGTTTGCTAAAGCTTTATTTACTCCTATTACAAGAGGATAAGAAAAGGCAGTATTTGCTGTCTTCGTATATTTCGAATCGTTTATTGAAATTTGAAATTTTTTATGGCCTGCTTTCATTTGAAATGCTCCCCCCAGTGGCACAGTGGTATGTCTGCGGACTTACAACACTAGAATCTGGGTTTCGATATCCGTGGTAGGCAGAGCACAGATAGCCCATTGTGTAGCTTTGTGCTTAATTAGAAAACAAACAAACAATCATTTGAAATAAGCCTTACTCTAAAAAAAATGTTGCTTTTATATAATTATTTAAGGTCAAAATAATGGCAATAGTTGGGGGATCAAAGACAACGCTTCACTTTGTTAAGCTAGCCTAAAAGTTCGTGGTATTCGGTAGCGTTAGTATGCCCTCGCAACTCCCGCAGTTGCGGGTGGGGGGTGAAACAGACAGAATCGCGACCACAATCATATGGAAGTAAAGGTACGGGACCCAATTACTTTTTTATGCGGGGGAGGCATATTTTTTAATTAGGCCACTGGTGGTATCTAATGTTTTCCCCAATAAATTGAATCTCCTGCATGAAGGTTAACAATTAAAAATTATTGAAAGCATTATAACTGAGTTTAATTTGTTACCCTTACGTTCCATACCGTTATGGAGTTACATGTATTTATTAACAAACAATCTGACGTCTCTCATAGGAGACTTACAGTACGAAGAAATAACTAAATGAAACTCTGGTTAATTTACCGTTTACTATACTAAGTGAAATACTGTCTTTACTCAGATTGTTTGAAGATTATTATTTTGCTTCGAAAGCTTAGAAATGTTATAGAAACTAGGAAGTCTGATAATGAATGGTGTATAATACTTTCTCATTAAGAATATATTGAAGAGTTGTTTAAAGTTTAAAAGTCATGGAATGACTCGTGCGAATCTGACACAATGTTGGCCAGTATGTCGGAGCATGGCTTCTTTTTAAGACTTTATTGTACTGTTATGTATTTGAAATACCAGTATTTAATTAACAACAGCAGTAATTTAAGGCTATTACCAAGACTAAAGATGTAACGTATAGTCACTACGTTATCTAACTGTTTAACTCACTGCCTGATGTAATTCTCAAGTGTCCTGACTGAGATTATATCTAACTGTTTAACTCACTGTCCTGATGTAATTCTCAAGTGTCCTGCACTGAGATTATATCTAACTGTTTAACTCACTGCCTGATGTAATTCTCAAGTGTCCTGCACTGAGATTATATCTAACTGTTTAACTCACTGTCTGATGTAATTCTCAAGTGTCCTGCACTGAGATTAATCACACTCTATAAAATGTTTCAGGTTCGACCTACCCTTGGAACTACTTCCTTCAGCGTCAATCGTGCTCATTTTGATGGCTCGACACCGCAATTACTATTGTAACAATGCTAGGTTACATATCTTGACAAACATTTCACACATTTTCCGCTGTACATATTCTTTTGCTTACAAGGCTGTCTTTAAGCAAATTGCCCCCGCCCGTGGCACAGCGGTATATCTGCGGACTTATGCCGCTAGAAACAGGGTTTCAATACCCGTGGTGGGCTGAGCACAGATAGCTCTTTGTGTACCTTTGTGCTCAATAAGAAACAACAATTAAGCAAATTAAAGG